CTTGCTCTGATTGGTCAGATGGCCCAGTCTGTTGTGATTGGTCTACTCTGCTCTGATTGGTCAGATGGCCCAGTCTGTTGTGATTGGTCTACTCTGCTCTGATTGGTCAGATGGCCCAGTCTGTTGTGATTGGTCTACTCTGCTCTGATTGGTCAGATGGCCCAGTCTGTTTTGATTGGTCTACTCTGCTCTGATTGGTCAGATGGCCCAGTCTGTTGTGATTGGTCTACTCTGCTCTGATTGGTCAGATGGCCCAGTCTGTTGTGATTGGTCTACTCTGCTCTGATTGGTCAGATGGCCCAGTCTGTTGTGATTGGTCTACTCTGCTCTGATTGGTCAGATGGCCCAGTCTGTTATGATTGGTCTACTCTGCTCTGATTGGTCAGATGACCCAGTCTGTTATGATTGGTCTACTCTGCTCTGATTGGTCAGATGGCCCAGTCTGTTGTGATTGGTCTACTCTGCTCTGATTGGTCAGATGGCCCAGTCTGTTGTGATTGGTCTACTCTGCTCTGATTGGTCAGATGGCCCAGTCTGTTGTGATTGGTCTACTCTGCTCTGATTGGTCTGTTGTGATTGGTCTACTCTGCTCTGATTGGTCAGATGGCTCAGTCTGTTGTGATTGGTCTACTCTGCTCTGATTGGTCTGTTGTGATTGGTCTACTCTGCTCTGATTGGTCAGATGATCCATTCTTTCTTTTAGGAGAAAATAACTCCATTTATCTGCACTGTGATCTCTGAAACTTTACAGACCTTTAGATTCACAAAAAGCTGAATTGCACACTACATGAAAGGACATTTTTCAAAAAGCATAATTGGGGCACTTTAAATGTCAATCTTTTTTTTTTAGATTTTTAGATATTATCGGCGCTTTACTGTAATATTAAACCATGTGATTGTGTTTTTTTCCAGAACTGCACGTACTACTGGGGATTTGCAGCTTGGATGGCGTATTACATCAACCACCCTCTGTACACGCCACCCAGTGAGCCTTCATATACTCTTCCCTGCTTCAGTGCTAACACAAATGCTTTCTTTTTTTCATTCATAAATTACACTGGCATTTTCTGTTGGCATGATGTCAGCCGATATTGAAACGTGTGTTCACGGCTCATGCTCTTGTTTGCATTGCAGTCTACGGAGAGCAGCAGATCAGACTGGCCCTCATCCTGTTCCTGGTAAGATCAGCTCTTCCACAGCATCAGTGTGAGTCATGTGATGATGACTAATGATCTCTTTATGGCCACAGTTCTGTCAGATCGGGAACTTCTCCATCCACATCGCTCTGAGAAATCTCAGACCACCTGGTAAGACCACACACACACACGCACGTCTGATTCGTTATCTTTGTTGGGTCTCTCGATAGATGTAATGGTTTTTATCCTGTCAACTGTATATTCTGTCCCCTTACACTAACCCGACCACACACACACACACTAAATCTACCCATCACACAAAACTTTCAGCATTTTCATAAAAACTCATTCTGCATGATTTATAAGCATGTTGACCTTGATTTAGGCCACAGTGACACGAGTCCCCATGAGTCTGTGTGCTTTCAGGTTTAACTCCCCACTGGGATAGAAAAAACATGTACACACACACACACACACAGTTAGGATCTTTAATACATTTATGTATAGACCTTATACATTTTCTGTATCAAGTAACGCGTATGTTTACTTGGCATTTGCATCGTTTGCATCTGTTGCTCGGCTCATCGTTAGATCAGGTCTGCCCAAAGTAAGAGTTTCTTCCTCTTCTGCAGGATCTAAGACCAGGAAGATCCCGTATCCGACTAAAAACCCCTTCACCTGGATCTTCCTGCTGGTGTCCTGCCCCAACTACACGTATGAGGTCAGGAAGATGCGCTCACACACATTCAGCACAGACCTTTCACTGAAAACTGTTAGCATCCGCTTCTCTCTTGTGTTCTGATGAAGATACGAAACATATGGAAGCTCGTTTCCGCCACAGAATAAAACATTTCAAAAGATTATTGACACTTTATTTCTCAGAATTGCGTGTTATAAAGTCGCATGAATTACCTTTTTTATTTTTTCTTCTGTGGCAGAAACAAGCTTCCATATAAATGAGATGCTTTATGCTGAGACATCATAATAGTTACACTTTGACATAGATTTCTTCTTTGGATCCGGTTACAGCCGAACTTGATGCAAACTAACTGTAACCTCCAGCTCATAGACAAAACAACATCACGTTAGTGATCAGCATCAGCAACAAGACCAAAGTAGTGTATCAAATAAAACAAAACACCTTTGGTCGGTTCACAGACAACGCTTAGATTAAATATATACAACTTAACATATGTCAAGTGTCATTGTTTTGTCTCAAGATTCACACCAGTTTATATAAGCAATATCATTTTTGGGTGAACTAACCCTTTAAAGGTAGTGTAGGGCAGAATTTTATAAAAACTTTTTTTCCAAATTTGTTTAAACTTTCTATATATATATCAATGCATAATTAAAATCTAAGTACTGTGAAAAAAAGAGTATAAAAATCGAGTGACTAGACCGTTTAATCTGCACTAAACACAGCTCATTATTTCGAACCGGGACGAAACAACGGATTGGCTTAGGCGACTGTCACTCTCTCGCAACCATGGCAACCGCCCTTTTGCCACACAGGACCTGCCCACTTGCGCCGCGTATCCAGATCGTACCTGTTCGCATGCCCTTGTTTGAGCTTGAAGATGCAAAACTCGACGCAGGTCCTCTTGTCTAAAAAGTGCTTCTTGCCCTGCACTTCGACCACCCCGTCCTTGGCCTCTACTTCCTCGGACCCTAGTTGCACGACCTCCTCTGCTTCACGGATCTGTCCTCGAGCTGACGATGCGGTACTTGCTTTCTTATACTGTCTATGGGTAACTTACTTGTCTCGGGAGTGTAGTCCTCATCAGAATCAACAATGCTTTCATCAAGCAAACTCTTACATGCAGTCAGAACACCATATATATGTTATGAATCTTACACGAAATTCATCTTCAATGATGGCAATGGAAAACGTGTATCATGCAACCTGTTTTTAGCTTTGCCTTATAGATAACTAGCTCGTTAGCGAATGAATAAATATATGTAAACTTTACCAATATCAATATGCTAGCTTGATAGTGAGTAATAAAATACAACTTATTTGTTTATCTTCATAATGATAGTTAGATTTTTTTATTTACATGTGTTTCTGACATGATGTCACTACATGCACTCCTTCCTCTCCTCTCCGCTCGTCTCAGGTAAATAATGCGTCTTCAGCTCAGCTGTCGGAGTCACGCGTTCATGTGGGAAGTGAATGGAAATAATGAGCTGTCTTAAAACAGTCGTGAGAGGTCTACAGACACTCGATTTTTGTACTTTCTTTTTCAGAGTACTTAGATTTTAATTGCATTGATATATACAGAAAGTTTAATGAAATTTGGAAAAAAACGTTTTTTTTTTAATTCTTGACCTACACTACTTTTAAGTCATTAATTACTCACCCCCATGCTGTACCAACCCCGTAAGATCTTCGTTCATCTTCGGAACACAAATGACGATATTTTTGATTAAATTTGAGAGGTGGATCACTGCTACATAATCCGCCAAAGGGATCGACGGCCCAGGAAGTCATTGAAGAAAATGTTTAAATATTCCATGTGACTACAGTGGCTCAAGTTTAAGTTTATCAAGCGACGAGACTACTTTTTGTGCGGAAATAAAACAAAAATAACGACTTTATTCGACTATTCCTTTTCTTCGTTCTGGGCCTGAGACGAGAGTTCAAGAGATTTGAAAAAAAAAACGACAGTGTTACCCCTTTCATTTTTTTTTTCGGGCGAAAAATTAAGTTTCTCAAATCTTCTCAAAACTCTGGATTCTGATAGAGGGCCACAAAACTTTGACCTGAGTGCAAAAATGGAGGCTCTAGACCCTTCCAGAGCTCAGATATCGAAATTCAAAATTTCGACCCGAAAAAAAAACGACAGTGTTACCCCTTTCGTTTTTTTTTTCGTTTTCAGGCGAAAAATTACGTTTCTCCAATCTTCTCAAAACTCTGGATTCTGAAGAGGGCACGAGACTTTGACCTGAGTGCAAAAATGAAGGCTCTAGACCCATCCAGAGCTGAGATATCGAAATTCAAAATTTCGACCCGAAAAAAAAACGACAGTGTTACCCCTTTCGTTTTTTTTTTCGTTTTCGGGCGAAAAATCAAGTTTCTCCAATCTTCTCAAAACTCTGGATTATGATAGAGGGCCGCGAGACTTTGACCTGAGCGCAAAAATGGAGGCTCTAGACCCTTCCAGAGCTGAGATATGGAAACTCAAAATTTCGACCCGAAAAAAAAAACGACAGTGTTACCCCTTACGTTTTTTTTCGTTTTCGGGGCGAAAAATCAAGTTTCTCCAATCTTCTCAAAACTCTGGATTATGATAGAGGGCCACGAGACTTTGACCTGAGCGCAAAAATGGAGGCTCTAGACCCTTCCAGAGCTGAGATATGGAAACTCAAAATTTCGACCCGAAAAAAAAACGACAGTGTTACCCCTTACGTTTTTTTTCCGTTTTCGGGCGAAAAATCAAGTTTCTCCAATCTTCTCAAAACTCTGGATTATGATAGAGGGCCGCGAGACTTTGACCTGAGCGCAAAAATGGAGGCTCTAGACCCTTCCAGAGCTGAGATATCGAAACTCAAAATTTCGACCCGAAAAAAAAAACGACAGTGTTACCCCTTACGTTTTTTTTTCATTTTTGGGCGAAAAATCAAGTTTCTCCAATCTTCTCAAAACTCTGGATTATGATAGAGGGCCGCGAGACTTTGACCTGAGCGCAAAAATGGAGGCTCTAGACCCTTCCAGAGCTGAGATATCGAAACTCAAAATTTCGACCCGAAAAAAAAAACGACAGTGTTACCCCTTACGTTTTTTTTCGTTTTTGGGCGAAAAATCAAGTTTCTCCAATCTTCTCAAAACTCTGGATTATGATAGAGGGCCGCGAGACTTTGACCTGAGCGCAAAAATGGAGGCTCTAGACCCTTCCAGAGCTGAGATATCGAAACTCAAAATTTCGACCCGAAAAAAAAACGACAGTGTTACCCCTTACGTTTTTTTTCGTTTTCGGGCGAAAAATCAAGTTTCTCCAATCTTCTCAAAACTCTGGATTATGATAGAGGGCCGCGAGACTTTGACCTGAGCGCAAAAATGGAGGCTCTAGACCCTTCCAGAGCTGAGATATCGAAACTCAAAATTTCGACCCGAAAAAAAAACGACAGTGTTACCCCTTACGTTTTTTTTTGTTTTCGGGCGAAAAATCAAGTTTCTCCAATCTTCTCAAAACTCTGGATTATGATAGAGGGCCGCGAGACTTTGACCTGAGCGCAAAAATGGAGGCTCTAGACCCTTCCAGAGCTGAGATATCGAAACTCAAAATTTCGACCCGAAAAAAAAACGACAGTGTTACCCCTTACGTTTTTTTTTCGTTTTCGGGCGAAAAATCAAGTTTCTCCAATCTTCTCAAAACTCTGGATTATGATAGAGGGCCGCGAGACTTTGACCTGAGCGCAAAAATGGAGGCTCTAGACCCTTCCAGAGCTGAGATATCGAAACTCAAAATTTCGACCCGAAAAAAAAACGACAGTGTTACCCCTTACGTTTTTTTTCGTTTTCGGGCGAAAAATCAAGTTTCTCCAATCTTCTCAAAACTCTGGATTATGATAGAGGGCCGCGAGACTTTGACCTGAGCGCAAAAATGGAGGCTCTAGACCCTTCCAGAGCTGAGATATCGAAACTCAAAATTTCGACCCGAAAAAAAAACGACAGTGTTACCCCTTACGTTTTTTTTCGTTTTCGGGCGAAAAATCAAGTTTCTCCAATCTTCTCAAAACTCTGGATTATGATAGAGGGCCGCGAGACTTTGACCTGAGCGCAAAAATGGAGGCTCTAGACCCTTCCAGAGCTGAGATATCGAAACTCAAAATTTCGACCCGAAAAAAAAACGACAGTGTTACCCCTTACGTTTTTTTTCGTTTTCGGGCGAAAAATCAAGTTTCTCCAATCTTCTCAAAACTCTGGATTATGATAGAGGGCCGCGAGACTTTGACCTGAGCGCAAAAATGGAGGCTCTAGACCCTTCCAGAGCTGAGATATCGAAACTCAAAATTTCGACCCGAAAAAAAAAACGACAGTGTTACCCCTTACGTTTTTTTTCGTTTTCGGGCGAAAAATCAAGTTTCTCCAATCTTCTCAAAACTCTGGATTATGATAGAGGGCCGCGAGACTTTGACCTGAGCGCAAAAATGGAGGCTCTAGACCCTTCCAGAGCTGAGATATCGAAACTCAAAATTTCGACCCGAAAAAAAAACGACAGTGTTACCCCTTACGTTTTTTTTCGTTTTCGGGCGAAAAATCAAGTTTCTCCAATCTTCTCAAAACTCTGGATTATGATAGAGGGCCGCGAGACTTTGACCTGAGCGCAAAAATGGAGGCTCTAGACCCTTCCAGAGCTGAGATATCGAAACTCAAAATTTCGACCCGAAAAAAAAACGACAGTGTTACCCCTTACGTTTTTTTTCGTTTTCGGGCGAAAAATCAAGTTTCTCCAATCTTCTCAAAACTCTGGATTATGATAGAGGGCCGCGAGACTTTGACCTGAGCGCAAAAATGGAGGCTCTAGACCCTTCCAGAGCTGAGATATCGAAACTCAAAATTTCGACCCGAAAAAAAAACGACAGTGTTACCCCTTACGTTTTTTTTCGTTTTCGGGCGAAAAATCAAGTTTCTCCAATCTTCTCAAAACTCTGGATTATGATAGAGGGCCGCGAGACTTTGACCTGAGCGCAAAAATGGAGGCTCTAGACCCTTCCAGAGCTGAGATATCGAAACTCAAAATTTCGACCCGAAAAAAAAACGACAGTGTTACCCCTTACGTTTTTTTTTGTTTTCGGGCGAAAAATCAAGTT